ACTATTAGATATCGAATACTACGAAGTCTGATACTTAGTGAAGTCGTCTTCATATTTGCTGCTTCTCGGACACAGCTTTTGGTTTCCTTGCCAATATTACTATGCAGGATTTTCTTAATGCACTTCACATTACATAATGACTGATTGAATATCGGAACAAATCTCTGCCTGAATTTGTTTTAACATGCTCAGTTTCTAAATCTTTTTCTTTGTATTGTGATTTTAATGGAATCATTTTTTATGCGTCTGGTTTAATGATATTCTTACTCTTTGACTCAATCTATTTGAAATTTCATCCGTGATTTCTGCTTTAAACTTCATAGGTGGTCCCTCTTTCTTACACTTGGTCTAAAAATAGGTTGTAAAATTTTCATGACATGGTGTATTGCCCTTTTTTTTCGGTATAGTATTATATAATTGCTATGACATAATTATTTAATAACTTACACGCTATATGTAGAATCCAGCAGATTACGTATCCTATCACATTTAAAGCTATTTTCTCGTTTTTTTTAATATCATTCACATCAACAAGTAACGTTCATCGACATCGAAAGTTAATTCACTAGGCCCTAGACTGGTAGTGCTGAGGAAAAATTATTCATGGACAGGACAGAAAATCGTTTGTTTGTGCCAGCAGCTGGTGATGATATTTTTAAACAGACCGGTAAAAAGGGTGGAAATAAGTGAGACTGTGGTAAGAATTAGAAGAAAATCAAAGGTATCAAGTAAAAGCAGTAAAAGTGAAGATGAAAGACAAACAGAACGGGACTCAAAGGTCCTTGAGACGAGGGAGAGGTTGAGTCTTACCTAGCCACAGCTATACAAGGTTTGGAAACTTCGTAATAGTTAGATCAAAGTTCCGTAGGGAGATCAGTTGGCCCACTTCTCTGACATCATCTCCAGAGCGGATTGCTACAAGCAGACAAACAGACAGACACACACAGGTGAATTACGGTTTCTAGACCCTATCCTTTCAGTCTAAGGAAGGTAATTTACCTTCCTATTGCATTGCTACTTTCATCACTATGCTTGCTATAAAGGTGATAATCGTCGTGTTATGTTGTAGCTCTTTCTATTGTGAACATTAATGTATAGTCATATTATGTCCATCGTCATATGTATTCTATTTTACTTGGAATTAAATCGATACTTGATTGTAAAAAATGAGCACTATTCGAAGCAGACTTTTACTTCGATGAAGTATTAAACTAAAGGCCACTTTATTGGCTATCATTAATTGTGCAGCATAATAATTAGAAAGTTTACAAGTAACGTGAATCGAAAATCGAATCACTGGGCCCTAGGCTGGCAGAATTTACACGTTCAAATATATGAACAGCAAACGAACTCGGCTGCTTCTGTCACCGATCCTGAAATTTCTCAAGCGACCGCTGGGTAAGTTCAATTGAGACGAGGAAGACAAACAGCGAATAAATGAAGCTGGGATACCGATGGGACGAACACGAGAAATTTCCAAGAATAATAAATAAAACCACGCATTCAAAAGTCAACGCGAAAGACAGATGCGAAGGAGTGCTCAAACCCTGATTTTGCTTTCGGTATGGCGAGGAAGCTCTTAGTTTCCTAACCAATAGAATACACTGCTGACAATTCTCACCGGGGGACTTGAATATTTTTCAGAGGGCAAGACGTTCACCCTTGTAGCCGATAATGGATAAATAATGGGAAAATGACCCATTATTTTCCATTATTTGAAAAAACACATGACCTAATGCATTTTAAATAATTATTTTTTGACTTTTCAATGCATTTCAATGCATTATTTAGAGTAATATTTTTAAGCTAGAGAATTCACCATTTCGGAAAAAAAGGATTTGACAGGTAGATTTTTGATTTAACCCAGATTCCTCTGTATCAGACGCTTTTCAATAATAGTGGCGCAAGTTAACGAACTAATAAAAACTGTAACCTGAGTTACAGCGCTCAGAATATTTTTGAATCCCGTTTTTCTGATAATGGAAATCTAATCGTATTTTCAGAAATCACTAGGCTATTCAAGTAAACCTACACTATTGAATACTTGAGTCAAAATCTGATTAGGTATATCAGATTATCCTTTCAGTTTCCAAAATATTTCCCCGAACAAGCCTAAGAGTTTCCGAATTTACACAATCGCGACAATGTGTACTAACGAACTGAAATCCGATCTCGAGTTTCTATTTGATGCAAAAAAGGCTACTAGAGTTTTGAATATTTTTACAATATTCTGTAGAATGAAAGAGGCCACAGTGCTCAAACCTCTCAAAAGAAGTTTTCCCTCTTCGTCATTGCTCAGTTTCGGATGCATATAGTAAACTAAAACTGCTCATAGTATCAACTATAACCGATTCGATCAAGCATTATTCCCTCTATGAATTAATTTATTTTCCAAAGTTGAAAGCATTTTGATAGTATTGAAACAGCTGTATATCATCTATACATTCTTGAACTGTTCTCGCTTTCGACTTCAATGTGACATGATTAAAATGGTAAGTTTGAATTCAATAGTAAAAAAATTATTTATTCATTGTCTTTTGTTTTAGATTCTTATCGATATGATCAAAATGATACGTTATATATATGCGAGGATTGATGAATGTTAAGCGGTAAAGTTAAGTTAGAGAGATAGAGTAAGGTTAAGGGGATAAGTTAAGGGGATAGATTAAGGTAAAGGGTTAAGTTAAGGGAATGAATGTGCAGAACCACAGAGATACCATTATCTTGATTAGGATATCGATTTAATAGGATTATATAGATCTTGTGTAGCAAGTGCCGAATATGACATTTTCAATGCATTGCAATGTCCATTATTTCCTAAAATCGGCTACATGGGCAGTTTCGCCTACTGAAGCATGCCCTTCAGAAATTTAGTGATGGAGGGATCAAAGTTCCTTTTAGGATCTGTGGCTGCCCTCTTCATCTGGACTATCTTTGGAAGTGACTAATCCTCGTGGCTCTTAAGTGAGTCTACCAACAATTTATGCCATGAAACTGGTCATTTGTACCATAACAGAGGTCATTTTGTGCCGTAGAAGTGACCGTTTATACCATGAAATTGGTCATTTGTGTCATTGTTACAGACAGACACAAGTGAATTACCGTTTCCAGACCCTATCCTTTCAGTCTAGGGAATATCTAAAAGCTGTAAAAATAATAATATTCATCGAATGCAGATTCACTTTATCGTAGGCTGCTGAGTGGTGAACATATTTGATTGACCAAAGAACTGGAGATTTGAAAACAAGAAATTTGAAAAAATAAAGTAGCTCGGTTTTTTTTTTACACTGATGGCATTCACGAAAATCATGAAGTCTCTCTACTGTTCATAGTTAGGATATCATTCACTGACAAAGTGAAAAGGAATTTAGATTTAAATATAGAAACGTCCCTTCTTTTTGCTGGAACAACTTAAAAACATTAGTCAATGTCAATTTCATATACAGTACAAAAGTTATTCTTCATCCAAAAGATCATCTGGAGAGTATAAGCGACTCAAAGCCGACGCAGGCGTAGCATTGTTTTTTAAAAAGGTCTGTCAACCATGGCACACGACTATCAATCCAGTTGTCGTGTCGATCCCACATCGTCCTAACAGTGCTCCATTGACGAGAACATCGAAACCAGAGAAGGTTTCTAACATTCGCCGAATATAGCCTATTTTAAGTTAGAAAACGTTTCAAAATGATGATTTGCGATTAATAGAGATTCTTACTGGTAAATCGTAAAAAAATAATTTTCAGAACAGAATCCGGTATCTCTTCGCTCTGAGGTCGAAGAAGATGAAGGTTCGGAAACGATTTGATGGCTAATTTTGACCAATTCCGAGTCAGAAGTTTTCGCCCCTATGAGTCGAAAAGAAAGCATTGTTGGATAGCAAACATGAAGAAACTATGAGTCTTACCGATGTTGATCACAGTCATGCTCTAACCTAGTATTTCTATCTTCTGGGTTTTCTTTTGCACATTTATCGGCTAGACGTTTCACTTCGTGTTGACTACGAGATACAAGATGCGTTTGTTTCTCTTCGTCTGTTTTTTTGACACCAAAATCCGCCAGTCGCTGTTTTCTGTATTGTCTGTCAACACCCAGGCGGCTCTCTTTTTGTTTAGCAGTCTCTACGAGAGCACGACGGACACGAAAAGCTTGCATTCGGTTTTTAGAAGTCGACATCAGAATATCTATTTTCATATAACCGTAAATCTTTCTGCAAGAATTAAGATCGGTGGGTGACGAGTTGGCACCGTTATTTCGCCACAATATCGTATTCAAGTAAACAAACTCAAAGAAAATGAAACTGTATGTGATGAAATACTCGAAAGTGAAATTAAGAAAAAAGCGCGATAAATTACGAAAGCTGAAATGAGATCAGGGAAGACTAATATTTGAAAGACTGGAAAAGATTGCGATATTTCTTTGAAATTTAGCTAGAAAAAAAAACGAAAAAAAGAGACCCAAGAATATGGTTATAAAATCTAGTAAAAGGCCCAATTTACCTCGGAGAGTAGATCAAAACGCTCAAATAATCTCTGTCACCGGTCCAAACAAAGAAAATTACCGTTTCCAGACCCTATCCTTTCAGTCTAGGGAACATAGACTGCCTGCCATACTTTGTTGTCGTAATTTAGTTATACATTTAATAGAATAATATATTTCAATATATTCTATTTTCTAATAAAGTATAACAATAATAACACTGATAACAACCAGGAAAAAGAAAAAACCAACAACTGCGTACTAGCGAACGAAAATCAATGTAGATTCAAAAACCAAACAATTCAACAGATTAAAACAAATTCCACTCTAATAAATGAGTTCTTGATAGTTCAGTTTGAGTATAACGGGTGGGCCATAAAGAATTACACTACTTTGTTATCATCGTAACTCTATTAATTTTTATACAATCGATCGAATTTTGTTGCTAAAAGATTTGCCATTCAATTCTCTACAAAACTGCCGTCTTCGTTTTTCCATAGATATTTTCAACGTCTTTCTAGATAATGAAAAGCAAAGATCTTCAAAAAATAGTACTTTCAAAATATGAAAATGGTGACAGTGCAACGCAGATATTTCATGATTTAATCGGAGCGGTTTCACGTAAAACAATTTTTAATTGGTGGAAAATGATCCGCGAAATCGGCTCTATCGATATGTTTACTTCATCAGGTCGTCCACGAATTTTCCGAACAAAAAAAACGATACAAAAAGTCAAAAACCGTTTAAAACGCAGAAAACTGGCTCAGGAACTCGCTATTTCAAGAACAAGTGTTCGTCGTGTCTTAAAAGATGATCTAGGACTTCGGCTGTACAAGAAAAGAATTGTTCCATTGATGACAGATGCACAAAAAGCCAAGAGAAAGACGTTTGCAAATTGGGTCAGAACAAATTTCAAAAAAGAAGACACATTGAAAATCTTGTTTTCCGATGAGAAAATGTTTGACATTGACGGAATATACAATGCTCAGAATGATCAGGTATGGGCTGTGGACCGTGGGGAAGCTGATAGGAACGGTGGGAAGAAACAAAAACGTAAATTTCCGCAGAAAGTTATGGCATGGTTGGATGCCTGTTCAAAAGGTGTTACACCTGGACAAAGGTAGTGTAAATCACGAGAGATACATCAAGGAAGTCTTACCAGTTGCACTCAACTATGGAAACAAGGTCTTTGGTGACAAGTGGACGTATCAACAAGATGGTGCAACACCCCACACACACAATTTAACTCAGCAATGGTGCAAAGACAATTTTCCTTCATTTTTGGACAAAGATCATTGGCCACCTAATTCACCGGATTTGAACCCACTCGATTACTCAATATGGGATGAATTTGTTCAACAGATGAACTGGGACAAGGTGCAATCAAAAAAGACCTTGATTGAAAAGCTGAAACGAGCAGTAAAACGAATTAGAGAAACAGTAATTTTTGAAAGTTGTGAAACTTGGACGAACAGACTGTATCGTTTGAAACAAAATCATTTTGAATATTTACATTAAATAAAACACATATTTTCGTAGAGAATTGAATGGCGCATCGTTTAAAAAAAGATTGGGTCGATAGCATCAAAACTGACGGAGTTGTGGGGAAAACAAAATAGTGTAATTCTTTATGGCCCACCCGTTACTATGAATAAATATTACTTCCGTCACCAAGAATCTTAATACAGACTACACGGGAAAAGCGAGACCTGTCTGTGCCAATAATCTATATTCACATATATTCAAAAAATCATGTGAACCTTTTTATGAATGAAACACCCTCCTAATTCAGGTATCTACGTTTCCCCATTATGGAATTTCTTTTGATTCTTTAAACGGATAATTAGAGTAGTCAACAAGAACAATTATATATTACGATGTTTAAAAAAGCATGAGTGCAAGGTTAGGTCATAATAGCAAAGAATATCTTCTGGATATTATCAGTACATCATTAGATCAAATATGACATGGATGAGCTCAAGAGTTTATGTCAATCAATGAAATAATCGAAATGGCCTAAATTATTCTCTATAGAGAAAGAAAATAGGGAGAGTATAAAATAACGAGAAAATATAGTAAGTGGGAGAGTTATATAATTTTGGAGTAGTATTGAGAGGCAGTGATATAGATAGTAAGGAAAAGAGTTAGTTAGAAATATTAAGTAGAAGCTACAATTCAGAATCTGAACCGGTTATCGTTCAACATTTATTATTATTGTGCGTGTTACAATCATTTATCAATTTTATGTCAAATTGTTATTACCTGTGTGTGCTCATATTAGCATTACAATAAATATCATCAAAACCCGTAACTTTATACTCTGATTTATCAATTCACCCGGAACCAAAGAATAAGAACCCACAAAATATTTCGTTACACTGTCCATTATAGATACAAACACATACTCTGAAAAAAAAAGGTGTCATATGGAACTATTTATGGTTCTAGCCAAGATACGATATTTTCCGAACGTGATTTAAGTAATATAAATCACGAATACGTTATAGAGGTCCGAGAATGCGAATCCGGCATCATCGAAACCGAACCTGAGGATCCGAGTCGGATTGATGAATATGGGTAGGTGCGTCTCAATAATCAATTCTATAGTAAATTATAACTTATAAAATGCGTTCATTCTTTTATCTATTTTCATGTATCACAATTATCAATAGAAAGCAATGTCAATCTGGTAAAATGAAGTCAATACTTTTTCTTAATTGAGGTATGTAGCAACAAGCAATTGAAATGCAATTTCAATATGATAAAATGAATTAATGTCTTTTTCTTCTTAGGTATATGTGAATAACTGATCTCATGGTAAGTTCAATCTTACAATAGTAGTCACTCCTCTTGTTTTTTGTTTAGGATCGTCTCAACAACAAGTAACGGCGATTCCGCTTTCGTGCGAATAAAGGAGAAAGTGCTGGTTCGTATTCTTCTCACAATCAATCCAGGTAAATATAACACACACGATTTAGTGGCTTGGCATAAAAATGAGGGTTAAGGATAGAAATAAGGGGTTAAATATAAAATGAACGGCTCGATATAGCATTAGTGGCGAGTACTAGACTAATTGAGTGTGGCAGACTAAATTTTACCACCCTTAAACCATTTTTGGAAGGAAAAGGAAAAGGCTGAGTAGGTAATGACCTAATTACAGGTTTTAAAAATTAAGGCAGATTTATTACAACTGTACTAACAAACTTTTCTAATAAAAGAACCATAAAGTTCAGAGGAAAAGTAAAAAACTTCATCTAAAGCCACCTCTCTTAGCAACTAGATTTGGCTTTAAACCATAATGAATGAATAGGATCTATTCTAAAGGGTGCATCATTGTATCATTAAAAATAGAGCCACTCACTTTATAAATCGAGTTTTCACTGGGAAACAAGTTGTTCACCCTAGTGAAACATCTTGTAAGCAAGATCTGGGAATCTTGGGATCGGTAAGTAAGATCTTCGCAAGATGATGGAAAAGATATCTTTTACTATTATCTTCTCACAAGATCTTGAGTAAAACAGAAAGCGACATCATTATTTTATTGAGTTATTCGAGACACGAATAATTAATATTAAGATAAATTGAAAAAATATCAAATATGCTTTCAGAATGCATCATTCAAGATCTTACTTATAAGATGTTTCACTAGGGTAGACTTTTTAGAACAGCGAAGCATAGTTGTTAGATGTTTGTAGTACTTTACCTAACTTTAGAGTAATTTAAGCTACTTCACACGTACTTTGAGACTACTTTGGTAGCTGGGTGTACTTTTTTACTTGAAGTCCACTGTTTCCCCCTTGACAGGTAATGGTTTTGACAAATTCATATCTAATCAAAATAGTATCGGTTGGAATAGCAAGCATCAAATTAATCGCTGTAAATTTTTTTCCAAAGAGCTCAGTGGATATTTGACATGGAAGTCCTATTCGTGGTCAATCTTTAGTTGTTTAAAACATGGTAGATAGTTCTGGATGGAATATATTGTTCTTTTTTAAAATAATTCGAAGAATCAAGAATCGCATATTCATAAAGAAACAACAGTGAATTAATTGGTATTTTTCTTCGTGAAAATTACTACGAATAGCGAGTTAATTATCCATTTCATTCTCATATTCCTGTTTTCATGGCTCTTGCCTGTCAATTCAAATAATTCACGCAGGTGTAGTTGCCACCCGAATCATTCGTGATCAAGTTCCAAGCCTAGCACGGCTGATGTATACTATGAAGTAGTGAGCAAGAGTCAGAACGAAAATAATTCCATAGCGTTTTTCATTTAATCATTCTTACTAGTCAAAATAAGCACTCGTTTATCTCTTACATACACCGTGTAATAGAAGACAGTTCACACTGATTCATAACCATAATATATTATTTACAAGGAACAAATCTGGATCATGGTACGCTCGATATACACCCACACCCGTCTCATGAATTGAATTAATGGCTTGATATCTTAGTGTAACTGTCTTTTACTCGCCGTTTCACGGTAATCTTTTTTTATCAAATCTAATATAATTGAGAGAAAGATTAAATACTGAGACATAGCGACCTCTTTGTCACTATCGATGAACACGATTGGATAACAGAGATAGGTCACAATATATGTCTAGACATGTTGCCCTTATAATCATTCAGTGTTAGATATTTCTCATGATGTGTTGATTGATTTATCTCTCTATACTTCGTTCATATAAACTTCATTTTAATTTAGTGACCCACCTTCGAATATACTGATAACCGTAATAGAATAAATCTTAACACTTAAACCCTGATCTCACGCCGATCCTTCTCTACTTTGGTGGTACCGAATAAGTGTAAACTTTTATGAACCTTTCCCCACCCTGACTGCCAATAATTTAATACTCCAAAAATTTGAATTGGGTGAGTAGTAAAAAATATGTTTTTATACTAAGAAATATTTGATTTTCACTTGTCTAGGTTTTCTGAACAAAACAAGGTCCTTATCGGACAATATACGTCGTTATCTTTATAGGAATCCATACAAAGTAACCCGCCCAAGGCTCTTTTTCTAAAGCGATATGGCCTAAATACAAATAGCATAGTAATCTTTTCATTTAACCACCCGAACCCTGATTAGTAAGCATGGATTACAATATCTATACAAGTTACAAGCTCCTAAATTATCACAAAACTAACTGTGTTATATGGATAGCAAATTGGTTTACTTTCAATAAATTTAACTTAGCAAGCACTATGATGACGGGTAGTTCTTTAGTTCCCTTGGCCAACAAATAACCCTAGCAAAGATTAAACATGAAGCATTATTGTATTCCAACTGTTTTACACTTGTACTTTCAGTGTCGAATAATTTGAAATAGATTGTTTTTTTTTTGAATAAACGAATTTTTACATTGAATATTAAAGCCTTCACATATCTGATAAAGATAACTATTCATGCAGTAATATATATTCTGGTTATTTAGTATTGTATCTTTTCAAATTAAAAAAAAGAAACAAAACTTATTTCAAACTCATATAACTGTCATGTCCTAATGTTAACAGTAATTAATTCATCTATTTCGAAAACTTTTTTTTTGTATCATATTCGAATTATTTAAAGATCAAGCTTCGTTTTTTCTGATGAGACAATGTAGTTCGTTCAATGAAATGTATCTGATTGTTCCCAGTAATGTAGAATCTATTTCAGTTTTCAATTTTTCTTTTCTAGTAAAAAGAAAATAATTTGATTTTTATTATTTTGTTTAATAGTGACTTGCTCTCATTTAATATTGATTCATCTAATCCATAATGTTAAACGACAGTTTCCGTTTCATAATCCCATACTGAACTTGATTTAATAGAAAGACTATTCACTTCTCTTATTCAACAATAAATTATAAACAATCTAAAATGACGTTTTAGTTTTACAACCATAAAATATTATCATCTTTTGTTTTTTCTAAATAGATCTATATATCTAATAAAAAATTCGTGTACCATTATAAATGACTTTAAAAACTTGTATTAAACATTCTCATTTCAACAGTGAATGCAACCGAAAATTCCAATCGACTAGTACATCTTTTTATGACGTTTTGTAAATGTTTTAAGTTAATCATATCAATTCTTTTTTCGATTTCAAATAGATTACACCTAGCCAGTT